GGCCTATCTATGGCCTTCCAAAAGTTGACGATTCTACATGTTTCGACGTTGAATATTATTTATGATTTTAACCCAATACCTTGTTGTTTATCATAACAGAATCAATAGTACAAACTGAGGTGATTTAAACATTTTGGTAATAAAGTAAATAAAAATACGACCTATAGTCTCCAGATAATAATAATAAACTTTTTTATTTCATCCAATGTTTTGCCACTGTGGCTTCATCAGGGCTAGTTGTACAAGAATTGTTTGATGAGAAAATATGCATTAATGAATATCTTAATGTCGAACATTTTTTCTACTAATACACCCGAAATGGCAAAACATTGGATGAAATATATATTTTTTTATTATATGAAGAGTAAAGATCATTGTTTTTACTAACCTTATTGCCAGAATGGACCAGTACCTGTTACTATTAGAATTGTTTCTTCAGCTGTTGTATATCCTGTTTCTAAATGTTATACAGCATTACAAAATAAATTTTAAATAGTTTCTAACCTTAAACTGTGAATAGCAAACTTAACTTGAAGAAAGTTAAGAGAGAATTTCGACCACCTTATAACATCATCTTAACCTGATGATGATCCAAGGAGGTCAAAACTTTGTTAATTGTTTTGTGTTTTTAATACCCATGCCAACCATCTTTACTTTTTATATCTATATATTTTCTTCATGATCGTGAGTTATTTAACGTAATGCAAGGTTTTTTTGTAACGCTTATGAAAAGAGCACATAAATAACGTTCTTTCTCTTCCCAGGTGTCACCCACAGACATCTGTCAGATCATCTCTCAGAATTAGTGGAAAATACACTAAGTGACTTGGAACAATCAAAGGTTAGTTTCTTTTATTGGATGTAGCCTAGCGGTTAGCATACTGTACACTGAATCTGAGAGTTTCCCTTTGTCACAAAATCATGTTCCTCACTTCTGGGTTGTGACAACATTATAAAAATCCCACTATTTGATTAGGGTAGTGAAAGAGTTGATGATGAGTGACATGACTAGATTCTTTATCTCTAGTTTGTCGGCCAAAATTATGCATAGTTAACACAGATAATCTTTGTGTGAATATCCAAAACAACTTCTTTAGCTTTTTATGTACTTTATTTTTAATAATAATTTTAGGGTTTGAAACTTGTTTCTTATCTGTGTTGATTCTACCATTTTTTAATTTTCCAATTGAAACATTAACTTGATAATAAATCATTATAAACACATTTTTAAATAACATTTGCTCCGAAATGGCTCAGCTATAAGTCTGAGGGCTTATACGTTAAAAAATGGGTTTTAGTACCTTTGGTTTGCAGGGCACATGTAGTCCACTGTATAGCTTTGTGCATAACAAAAAGACAACAGTTTGGTATTGTTTCTCTTTATCAGTTGCTTGGAACATTAACTAGCAAATAAAGCAGCTTAAAACTCGTTTTTGAATAATAGTTTGTTACTGCATCTATATCAGCATAGTTCCATGTTAAAATATTCTTTATTTTCATGTGAAACATCCACTGAAAAATAGTGCAACATAAGACACATTTTTAGATAACAGTTTGGTAATGTTTCTCTTTATCAGCATTTTAAAATGTTCCATATTATTAGACCACAATATTGTTAAATGTATTTATACTTATCACGTACAGGATGGTATTTTAGGCACTGGTTGAGCCTGTTTTAATAACAAACCTGATATTTTATCAGGACAAAAATCTAATAGCAAAGGAGATTGAGAAGCTTTGTTTATAAGCAATAAGTGCTTGGTGTTTTCCATGTGGGCACATCATCACAAAACACCACTGACTGTATAATACTTTGTATGAAGTGCAATATTTTACATTTATATTTGTTAATATTAACCTACAATTATAGGAAACTACCTATTTAGAGAGAAGCTAAAATCAATTTATTAACGAGTATAGCTAATTAAATATACTTTTCTTACTATCTTACTTATAAATATTAGAATGTATTATTTTATCAGTTTGGTACCCTCGCTGTTAACAATATTAATCGGCCATAAATCCAATAATATCTCGCAAGCTTTGGTTAGCTTAGGAGATTTAGGTTAGTCCTAAATATGTATAATGATAATATACATTAGATATGTTAAACATTGTATCCAATACTGAAATAATAAAGCATTCCTTCACAACTGTATTGTACAGTTTGTGAGCATGAATTTGACTTGTGATTTGTCACAATATATTGTAATCTGTGTCTATGGACTTGTGGTGTTTATATAATCCATGTATTCGTTTTTACGTGTTCCTTCCAGTGCATCAGCATTGAGGATGAAATGGATGTGTCTCCACTCAACTTGGGCATGATTGCTGCATACTATTACATTAATTACACAACTATAGGTGAGTCCATGTGACAATAGTGGTTCAAATCCATTTATCCTTGTCTCATTAGTAAACAATCATTGTGTTTTCAATGCATCATTTTCTCCTTCTCTTATCTCATCATCTCTTAGCCTTTTAACACCTGGTACACTTTTGAGCAGTTTTACACAAATGTTTCTTTCATATAAAGATATTACTTAGTATTACAGTAAAATAAATTGTCAGTGATACAGGTTGTACTACTATGATTAAAGTACTTCTAACAAAAGTGTACGTATGTATTGTTAACCCTCTAGGTGAGATATGGAAAGGTCAGAATGCACATATCATGACCATTTTTTCACTTTTATGTATCGTGTGACACTTCATTTCTATGGATTGCACATTTTAGAAAATAACATAAGGATGGAAAGAAATACTAAGTTTCATGGACTTGCACACATAAGCATTAGATATCCTTTAGCTGAAATGAAAATTTACAGTGGTTGTTCTTATTGCTTTTACCCTTTCACAGTCGGCTCGTGTATTTTCCACAACCTTGTAACTACCATGTAACCATGAAGGTATACATACCATAAATCTGAGAGTAGAATACTTAATCATTAAGTTAAAGTATATTCACAAAATTTGGCAAACTATCTGTAAACATTACAAATCTTTTCTAGCAAAAAATGTATGTGTGTGTAAATATATGCAATTAGACTGTTGACTGATCCGGGTGCAAAGTGATTTTTATGTTAAAATTAGAAATACGTCATCTAGAAAATTTTCAAATTTCATGTGTATAATCTCTAAAACCTCCTAAATATATATGAAACTTTTTTTTTTCAGAAAAACTATTTTATCTGTGATAAAATAAAGAATGCACATGAAAAACAAGAAATATGATACTTAATTGTTGTTGTTTTTTGCTGTCTACTGTCAATGAAACTTAAGCCTACTTTTTTATACTAATGGTACTACTCTACTTAATTTTTATTCAATTAAATATTGCACCTACAGGACTCAATTTTAAAGAAATTTCCAGGTTGTCTGAAAAAAACAACATAGACCCTCAAAAAAGATCCAATTACAATTTTGATGTTTTTATATCTTATTTATTTCCAAAAAGTATAAATAATCTTGGTAACTTTGCATCTTTATTCAACTAATTTTTGATGTTTTATTTCTCAGGAAGTTTTGTTGCATTGGAAAAATAAGCCCAAACAAAGTATATTAAGGAAACACAGTTAATGACAAGTAGAACTTTTAAACAGAACAGTAATCTTGGCCAATCAAGTGTAAATAGTGTGTAATTTTCTCAGTGACAGTATAAATAGTGTGTAATTGTCTTTAAGTATATGTAGTTACTCTCAAAAGAAAGGGGGGATAATTTAGATTATTTTTTATTTTGTGTGTGTGCGTGGTGGTGGTTACAAGGTTGGTCAAATTAACTTAACGTGTTTTCAATGTTAGGGTAATGAAAATAACAGATAAAATATAAAGATTTACTGAAAGAAAATTTCTGATATTCATTCAGGAGGACCTCCAGGTTATGCAAGTGAAAGTTGAAAACTGTGCAATGAAAAAGTATTTTTAATCTTAATATGAAAATCATTTTGCACTCAGACTTGTGAAGTCTGCTTCAGACTCGAACTCCATAAATTTATAAATATTTAAAGGAATGTAATTTTTTGTATACAAAAAACTTGTAATGTTTACTAAAAGTAAAAGCTTGCCAAATTTTGTAAAGATACAGTTACTACATGAAAAGCTCTATTTATTTGTTTCCCTACTTAACATTTTCTTGCTTTGTCTACGTAACAGAGTTGTTCAGCATGTCATTGAATGCTAAGACAAAAATCAGAGGTTTGATTGAAATCATCAGCTCAGCAGCCGAGTACGAAAATGTTCCTGTTCGTCACCATGAAGACAGCATCCTTCGACAGGTATAGACTACCTTTCATATTCGTTGTGATAATGTCTCACTCGTAAAGGATCTAGATCTGTATATTTTGAAAACTTCTGTTCTTATTGGTTTATAGAATTTTTACTTTATTTCTGTACAGGCTGTTAGGAAAGGTTTCAAGAAGCTTATTTTAATATTTTATGAATTTTACAAGACTTGGTCAGAGTAGTTTGAACAAAACTTTTAAGGCTGTTAACATGTTGAATTTTTTAGAAGCCATCACTCACTGAGGAAATGTATTTATAAACAAACTAACTAATTCGAATTTAAAACATTTTTATTCTTCACCCAAATTTCAAATCATTTGATTGCATGAATATATAATGACAATAAAACTAGTTATAATTTCTCACAGTTTACTTAACTTTGACAAACTTTTAATGTACCTTTGCTATAAAGTTTTTTGTTAAATCCTTGAATACGTATGCTTCATATTTAGTTTTAAATAGCACTATTTAATTTTATGTATTCTTTCGAACATTTTCACAAAATTGGTAATAGTGGTAGGGGTAGTAAAAACTTGATTTTAAATTTGATATATTCTTACACAGAGACAAAACAAATCCTAAATCAAACTTAAGTAGCCTCCATTAAGAGACAAATATCTGACTTTCAAGACTAAACTACCCTTATTATTATTAAAAAAACAATGACACATAATCATACACAGAGACAAAAATCCAGATTCCGATTTCTAAGACCAGTCTTATAATAGTAAAAAAGATATGTGATATAAATAATAATTTGCAGAGACAAAAATCCAACTTGTAAAGACCAGCCTCCTAATAGAAAAAGTACATAATCATACACAGAAACAAAAGCTAACAAGACTATCTCCCTACTAGAAATAAAATATATCTATATACATATACAAAGAGATAAAGAAACAAAGATAATTTCACTTACGATGGCAAAATCTGACTTTTCGTTATATGTTTTAAATTGTTTCTCATCATTTATATCTTCAGTTGGCCAGTCGTTTGCCTCACAAACTGAACAATCCAAAGTTTAGTGACCCACATGTGAAGACAAACCTGCTGCTTCAAGCTCATTTATCTCGCATGCAGCTTTCTGCTGAACTACAGTCAGACACAGAAGAAATTTTAAGTAAAGTAAGTATATTGTCCAGAACATTGTTGATGTCCTTACATCTTTAGCTGTATTTTTGTGCACTTAAAAGGACTTTTGATATTTATTTTGTACTGATTCTTTTTGATTTATCAGTGTAAATAAATAAAAAAATGAATTCTTTAATTCTACATTTACTAACATTGCTGCTCATGTAAGTTTTTGGAAGAAGTTCAATGAATGTGACCTTACAGACAGAAGGTACAGATGAAAATTATTTGGCCCAAACCATTAATCACATGTTTCTCTTTTCCGAACTGTAATTTTAATCAATTCTTTGTACTTACAGGAGATGAAAGTCATTATAAGATTAGTGTTTTTAGTTTACATAATGCTGATAGTTTATTATGTTCTCTAGGCCGTACGATTGATCCAGGCTTGTGTAGATGTCCTGAGTTCCAATGGCTGGTTGTCTCCTGCTCTCAGTGCTATGGAACTTGCCCAGATGGTAACACAAGCCATGTGGAACAAGGACTCTTATCTCAAACAACTTCCTCACTTCTCTGGTGAAATTATTAAGAGGTGCGTAGAGAAAGGGGTTGAAACTGTTTTTGATATCATGGAACTCGAGGATGATGAGCGTGACAAACTTCTTCAGTTGTCTGATTCTCAGATGGCTGACGTTGCTCGGTTCTGTAATCGTTACCCAAACATTGAGCTGAATTATGAAGTACAAGACAAAGACAGTATCAGAAGGTAAGATACTTGTATTTGAAATTCTTCATCTTTTAACATTGTTTTTACTTTTCCTCTTAATCTCACATTTTACTTGTATTTCAAGCGGATAGTGCTACTCAAGTTAACGTGAAGAACCACTGTTCCAGTTGTCTAAGTATCTTTCTAGTGCAGTGGTTTTCAAGCTTCATGAAGCCATGGAACTCTCTTATTTCACTCCATCCATTATGGAACCCTCACACTTAAAGCCTCCTTAAAAGTCATGCCTTCTTTCTCTTTTATCATCATAGACAACTTTATATATGTACAAATATGTATTTAGAATACATTTGGACCCCAACTCTGTAATTAATAAAAAAAAATTCCATTACCTGTTATCTATGTGGGGAACCCCTGATGACCATATACAGAACCCTGGGGTTCCATGGAACACAGTTTGAAAACCACTGTTCTAGAATGTCCATAAGTTATTGAATCACTTTTACAGTTATTCTACATTGTCTGCCATGATGTACATGGTGTACATAAGTTTTGTATCACTTTTACAGTTATTATACATTGTCTGTCACGATGTACATGGTGTCCATAAGTTATTGTATCACTTTTACAGTTATTATACATTGTCTGCCATGATGTACATGGTGTACATAAGTTATTGTATCACTTTTACAGTTATTATACATTGTCTGTCACGATGTACATGGTGTACATAAGTTTTTGAATCACTTTTACATTGTTATTGTCTCCGGTATTATAATATGTTCATATTAATAACATTGTTATTATCTCTAGTATTACGATATGTTCATATTAATAACATTGTTATTGTCTCTAGTATTACGATATGTTCATATTAATAACATTGTTATTGTCTCTAGTATTACGATATGTTCATATTACAAACATTGTTATTGTCTCTAGTATTACGATATGTTCATATTACAAACATTGTTATTGTTTCTAGTATTACAATATGTTCATATTACAAACATTGTTATTGTTTCTAGTATTATGATATGTTCATATTACAAGTGTTTTTACTTACAAATCAATAAACCTGAACTTTAGATTAAGCTGTTTAACAGAAAACAAAAAGTGTCTATATAGTTTTTCTTTGACAAAAAGAAATATGATGCTATTTTCAAGTTTAAAACAATTCATAGGATTCTACACTTGCTCCTGAACATTGTACTTTATTTTGTAGTTACCACATTGGCATCATTATTGAAAATAAGATCTGTTACAATTTCATTGTGATTTTCTCTATTAGTATGTTGCTTACTCTACATATGTAAATGCTTCCTTGTTCTGATCAGTATGATTTCAAAGGTGTAATTATCTTCACGCTCAAAAATTACATTGTTCAACATGATCTGTTTTACTTTGTGTTCAAGATATATGTGTAGAATGTTGATTTAAACAAAATGTATGTGAAAGCTAATTTTGAGATTTTAACACTTCCATTAGTGGGTCAACTGTGAACATTCTGGTGCACCTTGAAAGAGAGGATGAAATAACTGGTCCAGTAATTGCTCCCTTCTTTCCGCAGGTAACTTACCTCCTCTCATTAATATGCAAGAAATTATTGCTATGAAATTTAAAATTGTATATAAGAATTTGTTTTCAGAAATGTTATACTTTTATTAAATACAGATACGGCAAATTGATACATGGGTTATTGTGTGTTATAGGTGTAGACTACAAATTCTTAGTTCTATTCCTGATGTTGAATAAAAGCTGTGGAAGTAGAATATATCTTATTAGATATATATATCCCTCCAATAAACATGGATTCAAAGAATGAATTCCTCTCTTCATGTAATGTTTATCGGTATAGATCAGATGTGTCCAGTATTTCTTACTTGTTTTAAGCATCTTCTGTCTTATGCCAAATAACTATAACCATATTAACTTTTACCTTCAAAGATAAAGTTAGAAAAGTACAATGATCAAACTCAGTGGAACTGTTTTTGGCCATTGTTCTTCATAAATGTTGTTTAAACGAAAATATTGTTACTGTAATATTTTGTTGATTTCTCTTACGAATAATTTGACCCTTATTCTGAGATTTATCAGACAACTGGTATTTGTAAACTTGACATACTTTAAGGACACACATATTTAACAAAAGTGTGTATGTGTGTGCACTGAAACAATCCAGAAAGGAAAAGTTTAATAAAGCCTGAGTGAGTGTGCATTTTTTTTCTGTTTTTCAGAAACGAGAAGAGGGATGGTGGGTGGTGGTTGGAGATCCACGTTCAAATTCACTTATCTCTATTAAGCGATTAACACTTCAACAAAAGGCTAGAGTTAAGCTTGATTTCGTGGCTCCATCTCCTGGAGATGTTACATATACATTGTATTATATGAGTGACGCTTATATGGGCTGTGATCAGGAGTACAAGTTCAACATCCATATTGGGCAGGCTGGTAGGAAGAGAAGTGACAGTGAAAGTGACTAGCCTAACATCAACATTCATGTTAAACTTTCTTTCATTTTTAATCATTGTGAACTTAACAAAGATGTACATGAGAAATCCAATAATCTTTTTAAGATTCCATCTTTGACTTACTTTCGTCAATATGTGAATTAGATTTTGTATCGCTGTCCTTTAAGGCCTGATGTGTAAGTAAAATAAAGTGTTTACACGTTATTCTTGTTTATATTATTTCACAAGTTATTACTTCTTTTTACTTTTTAATCAGCTGATAAATTATCCTTTTTACTTCATGATATGTAATCACTCCATTTGAAAGATAAGCTGTACTTGTATGGCTCATCATTTCCATGATTATGTTCTAATCCTCATTCTCCAAACTTAGTTAAAGCTATTTAATTGTTGTACCTCATTCAGTACGAGATTATTTGAAAGTACAAAAACAGAATTTTTGAATCAGTTTTTTTATAAACTATGCTTTCAGCTGATGCCAACTTCTCCTTAACCCTTTAGGCCCTTACTTTTTTTCAATCATATCGTGCTCAGAATCATCATGAGATGATTCAGGTTCAGAGCCAGAATCACTGTCAACTTGCACAAGTTCAATTGTCTCTTCAAGTGTGAAGACACTGGAGCAATTTGACGATATTTTGGGTCCATTTTGTTATAAAAAAATTAAGCACATACATATGCCAAGTTGGATATGAATTGATGGCTGTGATGTCATCTATGTGATTTGACAAATGGTAATGGGCATGTCTAAAAGGTTAAGGCTTAAAGAAGATTTAGCAGAAGTTGAAATACACCATCTAAAGTTTCTTTTAAAGAGGTTTTTAATTGGGCTTGTTTGTAAGGATACGTTGTTCAGTAAGTTGGTTTGTATCATTCTTCGAAATATATTATTGTAAGACAGGAAAAAACTAATTTAAACTTGTTTTCATCATCTTAAAATATAACATTATCCTCGAAAGAGGTGTAATGAATCATTAATCAGTGTGTAAACAAAATATCTTTCTTTTCAACTCAAGTAATATTGTTTCAATGTGTACTTTTAATGAGTTCAGATCTCACAACTAGAGAAGATCTGGAAAGCATTTCATCTGCTAATAATGAGAACTTGGAAGTATACGTCTCTTTGTGATTAAAAGGAAAACTAAAATTGATATAATTTTGTGTACCAATATTTTAAACATGTTATTAGTTGTTTAAAATAATTTATTTTTTTAATGATTGAAATACAAATTAGTGAAGCAACTGCTAAATCCAGAAAGTTTGTTATATTATGTCAGTGAATTAGAACCAGGGTGTGAAACACATTTTAATTTTGTCAGTTTTATAGGGGCCAAATTCTTTACAGTAAGTATTTGCCACGTGATGGTGATAAATTCCAACAATAAATGGACAGCACACAATCCACTTGTTTTAAAATAATATATTCAAAATAAGTCAAATGTTTATACGAAGCTTCATTGCACTATTGGTTATCACAGTTGTAGCCAGAGCTTTAAGTAATTGTCCACATGGATGGATTCGGTTACTTTATAACACCCTTTGACAAGACAAATTATTCTCCTCCACTCTGTCATTACAATACAAGCTATGAAACTAACTTTAGAAATCGGCCATTATAGCTAGACTGATACACAGTCTAACTTCACTTTCACCAACTTATTTACATGCATTAAATATTGCATATATATATATATATATATATATATATATATATATTGCTCGACTGAGGCCTTGAACATTACATGACGTCATTTCACAACAGTTGAACTACACAACAAATGACTTGTAAACACTAACATAATCAAATTTGCGGTAAATTATCACTTCTAAAAATACCAAATTTCACACTTTATAACTATGCAGATCCTAACTCTGGTATTAAATTTAAATGAAACAATTGTTTTTATCTAAGAGATTTGTAGTGGAGCATATTTTGATCTGATTCTGGAATTAATCAAACTAATATCCTCATCAATAAAGTTGCAGAATTTGATATCTACACTTGGGGCATATTTTAGATTCTTGCATTTTAAAATATGGCCAAGACACAATTTATTACCATCTTTATTCCAATATTTTGTTATGTAGAACTAGTCTTTTTGTCTTTATATCTCTGCTAAGCACTTGTATCAGATGAAAACCAACAGTTACTCCCTTTTCTGGGAAATGAACTAATATTAGGAAGAAAGGAGGTTAAGCACTTTTTTTAAGTCGACATATAACTAGTGTATAGAATATGTTTAACAACTTCAATAAGTACACCTGAAAAATTCAACTTATAATGAGTAGAATGCAATTTATCATCAGGTGGATACTCTCACTGTCAACAATATTTTTGGCTGTAATCCTAATATTATTAATATTCTTGAAGTATAGCCTGCTTACAGGATTTAGGTTAGCCTTACCCACATATTAAATTAGTATTACACGATAATCCTCATAAGTATCGTTAAAAGTAAAAATACTTTATACCTTATCTATCATCAGTAAGAGTTAATAAAACAAGCAACACATCTCCCGAGATAGATATATGTATATATATAACCAACCTCACAGACTGGTGGAAGTTACAGATATTATTCGAATCCGTAATCAAATAACACTTACGTTATCTGGGGGTATTAACTATGAATGATTCTCCTAAAGACTGGTATTGGTAACTTGTGTGACACATGGGCTAAGCAGCCAGGTCAAAGATGACCCAATAATGTACAAGCATAATTTAGAACTGCTGACCAGAGGAAGGGCAACACCTGTTTCTTTTTTTTTAGGTATGGGTGCATTAAAACTGTGACAGTGAAAATTTAAAACTGCTGACCAGAGGAAGGGCAACACCTGTTTCTTTTTTTTTAGGTATGGGTGCATTAAAACTGTGACAGTGAATCATGCTATTCAGTTATGAGTAGCCACATCAGCACTCAAACCTTGGACCTCCTGATCTTCAGGATGGTGCTCTTAGCTACTACATATCTGATTCCCTAGGAGAGAATGACATATAGAAGCAGCTCTTTATATAATTATCTTAAACAATGGTGAATGAACAGAGAAAACCAGTTCCTCAGCAATGACCCTGTTAGCTTTTGTGGCCTTAATTAGTTTAATAACAAAGATACACAGCTTTTAGGATGCTACTATTTAGCAATAGTCAGTCGCAAGATGTTACAGAAAGCAAAGCCTAAAAATAATTAATGTATACACACACACACACACACGTATATATATATATATATACGTTTGATAGATAGATCTAGACTGAATTGTAAGTATAGCTATAAAGAGCGTACAATGGTGATTTTAAAGTGAAATTATCACATTCTGTATTGTGGTAACAGAGCAGAGAAGAATAATTATTTTATCATTTGTGTTCTAAAGTAATTGAACCCGTTTGTGTGGACTTCTTTGGAAAAGAGACAATTATTTAAAGTTCTGGATACAACTGTGACAACCAATTGTGAAACAAAAATTTGTATATACGTTTGACTTGTTTTAATATATTATTTTAAAACGAGTGGACTGTGTGCTGTTTGTTTATTGTTGAAATTTATCGGCAACACGTCACAGACGCCTACTATAAAGAATCTGGCCTATACATAATAAAAATTGACATATACATACATACTGCTAGTCAGAACAGAATTTTAAATCAGTAAATTGTGAATTAAATCAACAAAAATAATGCAACATAAAGAATATATTGAACTTACTATAAGTAACGTTTATCACACACCAAAAGTAATAAGAAAATAAAGAAAAATGTATCGCCCTTCACCTGGATATGACTATCATCCGAGAGTAGTGGTGACATAGATGCATGACCAAGCAAACACAAGTTCGATGAATGATCACTGTAACACTAGCCCAATGGGACAATTAATGCAAGTCTCAGAATGTTCACATCCTCTTGTCCAGGTGGTTAGAGCGCTCGACTCGCAATCTGTCTCTTTATTATTATT